AGATATCTTTTCTATTCATATACACTGCAAAATTAAGTTTCCTATATGATAAAGATAAATGTTTCAAAATTCAGTGCCTAATTTAGGAGTAGAAAATCTTAGCTATAACTCATAGCTATTTGACCATATTATTACCACCACTCCCCAACTCAATAAATTCCAGTGGTTACCTATCATTTTCAGGATTAAACATAAAGGCTTCTGTTTGATATTCAAAGCTCTTTATAACCTATCCCCATTTCCCCACCCCCTTTCTTTTCAGTTTTCTTATACTTTACCTCCCTTTCCTAACATACTCTATATTCTGGGGAATCTGGACTCCTTACTGTTTCTCCAATAATATACTCTGTTTCTACTGGATATTTTCAGTGGCTATGCCACATTGCCTAGAATTCTCTCTCTTTTCATCTCTACTTTCTGGCTTCCCTGGCTTTCTTCAAAAATCCTAGCTAAAATACCACCTTCTATAGGAAACTGCTCCCAATTCCTCTTCTTGGATCTTCCCTCTGTTGACTATTTTACAATTCATCCTGTAAATATCTGATACTTAGATATTTGCTTGATTTCTCTTCTATTAAACTGTTAATTACTTGAGATCAGACTTTTACTTTTCTGTGTATTCTCAATGCTTAGTACTCTTTGGAACACAGTAGATGGTTAATAAATGCTTACTGTTTGACAGACTGACATAGTCAATGTTAATGTTACATTACTGTACATATTTGTTCAAATGCTTTGGGTTTTTTTGTTTGTTTGTTTGATGTTTTGGGTTTTTTTTCCTATTTATTTCACTTCCTATCATTGATGTGCTTGGTTTTGTCTCCAGGAATATTATACTTCATATAGGATAAGCTTATCACCTGCAATCTTATCCTCATGAAGAATTCTTCAGCTTTGCTACTCAGCATCTTTTAAGTACCTTTGGTTTCCTCTCCTCTCCGGTTGGAGGGATGGAAAGTGGAACAAAAGAATTCTTCTAAAGCCTCACTTTATAAGAGGGCTCAGAATTTTCAGCTCTTCATTTCAACCAGCTACTCTTCTTGGTTTCATTTAGAGCCCTCTGGTACTCCCCACCCCATTCCAGCTTCCTTTATAATGCTACCCTCCTTAAATTGTAAGCTTCTTGAGGGAGGGGACTGTTTTTCTTTTTTTTAGCACAGTACCTGGTACACATTTAGTGCTATTGATCAACTATTTCCTTTTCAAATGGGAGTGAGAGGACAAGGGGGGAATAAAGATAGGATATTTAAAAAAAAGGAAAAGAAAGAAAGAAAACAGGGTCATTGAGGCTTCTATTCAAATAATACAGAGAACAGGAAGAAGGCCATTAAAAAAGCTCAAGAAGAATAGTTTTTAAAATTATAGGTTGATCATACACTATACGGAAAAAGAAAAACATGCTAATCATTGTAGATCTAAAATTTCATGCATAACTTTCAATTTACATGTACATAGATGTGTGTGTGTGTGTGTGTGTGTGTGTGTAAATACCTATATTTTGGGTGTTTAGGTTCATATAAAAATAAATTTTAAAAATTTTAATACAACACATACACAAACTACATATTAACCAGTTTCTGTATGCCAGCTGATGACCAGCTTTTTTGTTTGTTAATATTTGATGGAATTACATTTCAGGAAAATAAAATTAGTTCCTTGAAATTATCTGTTGCTCTATTTTAGTTGATATGAAATTTGTGGATATATGTGTATTTTGGGAGAGACCTATGATCAAATCCATGTGGAAAATTGTTTAATGATACAGATAGAGCACTCCTGCAATGTTATATCAAATGAGATGATAAATGTGTGTGTATGTATATATAGACATACATACACACACACACACACACACACACATATATATATATACACACATGCATATACATATTGCTTTGTAAATCTCAATGCTAGTTATTGTCACATAGTAATAGTATAGTCTGAGTATTTAAACCTAAAGCACAAATAATTATTAAGTATAAATTCTAATTATTCTCATAAAAAATTTTGTTAGACTACATCCTCTGAATGGTCAAAAAAAGAATAGAACTTCTGTCTTTGACAAAAGAAATCTTTACTTTAGCAAATAAAAAGCAATACTATCTCTGGCATTGAGCTCCTCAGGCTTAAGAAACTTGTAAAAGCAAACACTGCAACAGCTAATGGCACTATTAAAAGGCAGAAAACACAAAGCTGGCCACCTTGTTTAGAAGGAGACACCTAAAAATTCTGCATGAAACCTGGGCAAAAGTAAAAATGGAGGTAGAGATTGGTGGGGACTGTTAAGTTAGATCATCTTGCCTTGTATTATAATTTTCTAACCTGAAGAAGTAACTTTTTTAAGAGCAGTGCATCTCCCCTTTTTGGGACACTGCAGTGTTTTTTAATTCATATTAAAATGGAGGAGAGAATCTTTTCCCTCATTAACTGATGGGAATCATCCCTCTAACAAAAACCCCTAGGCCATTCTGGCCCTTTTCCAATGTACTGAAACTTCTACTGGAACTGAGCCAATCCCAGCTGAAGATAGATGGCCACACTATTATTAGAAATCGTTCATTCTCGGAGACTAGGCTCGGTACCTCCTTTTCTATGGATTACCTCTCAGAGCAACAGGGGTGCAGTTCAGGGGGAAGGTCAAGTTGAAACTGTCAATCTTTCAGCTGGAAGGTTTTAGTGATTGCAGTGACATATGAAGCACAAGCCCATGAATAAAACTAGCCTGCATTTAAAGTGACACTATTAATCTATTCTCATCAGGATCATTAATCCTAATTCACTTATGTCTGTTTGGAGTGACCAGTCTATCTCATTTATTTCAATTGTATGCAATGGTACCAATATGCTTTTTCAATTAGTTGGGGAGGCCAATAAGGTATCCGAATTAACAAGAGTGAGCCATGGGCTGCCGAACCCTCTTCCATAGTTTCTCTGTAGAGCTGAGCAAGCTTCTTGTTCTCAACCTGTGACTTGGATTTATTAATAGGTTGACAAAAAGGCTCTTCTCAAAAATTAATTAGAGTTGTGTTGAACTCCAGGAATATAATTCATTTGGCTGGTAATTGATGGAGTGCACCAGTTCACAGGTAGCAGAGAAATTTACTCCATTCTATTTCCATCTGCTGATACTTCCACAATAAATTTAAATTGCTTATCCATCATCCATCTGGAAAATGAGCACCAGACCCCAAATACTCTACCTACAGCTGTGATGTTATATTGGGTTGGCTTGCATTATAATGTCAGATAGATCATAAACAACCTGTTTCCCACATTGCAAAAGCAAATTCAATTAAGGTACACAGATATGCATTTAATTTATGGCTGGTAATCACAGATATCTTTGTACCAGCTGACTAATATATAGCCCAATGTGTTAAAAATAAAGTCAGTGACTGATGTTAAAAACAACAGTTGTTTAGGAATGATCATAGAGGAAAATATTGATAAAATGTATTGATAGTTCATTTTATTATAAATGAGTTATGTTCAGTATAAGATTGTGATCTGACAATCTCACAAAGTAAGATTGTTGGTGTATCCTCATTAATTTTGAAGCATTTCAATAATTTTACTTTGGGATTTTCTGCCAGTTGATGATAAAATCTACTTTGGTCTGATACATGATAGCCATTTCCAGTGTGCCCCACTTTCAATCATTCACAAACACTTCTAACCAAGCGAGGACTCCAACCATTTACCCTTTCACGTACATTGTGGACAACTACTGCTACGCTTTTCTAGGAAAGGTTTCACTGAGCACTCTCATGCTTTTGGTGACTTCTAGGTTTTATGAAAAAGATAAATTAACAAGCAGTTCCTTTACATAAAAAGAGTGGGAACAAATGATCTAGCTAGGTTATTTATTCCAAAAATCTACTGTGTCTATTGTACAGATATTGTGAAGTCTGGCTTGTTGTAACACACGAGTATACACATAATTAAAGAAGTTTCTTGGGACTGAACGTTTTCAGAAACAACATCTCAGACTTTGAATATGGTAAATGGGAAACAGGAAATGAAAGAAGTAACTGTTATTGATCATTCCATAGCAATTGCGTCCTTGAAATCTTGACTTACTCACCTTCCACAAATCACTGTCTGTAAGTCTATCAGGTCTTTTACATCTAGGGTGGCCTGAAGATCAGAGAAATGGTAGTCTGTGAATTTACCTAACTATTATGTCCAGTATGGAGTTGCTTATAACTTGAGAGAAATCACTTGGCAGCTTTGAAACTAGGTATGACAATCTTGAGACTTCATGTAAAATCAAAGCACTGTGCAATTTATTTCTAACTGGGGACTGAATTGGCCTCCTTATGACACACAGGGTGTCTAAGTAGTATTAATTATAGTCTGTCAAAGAACCCATATTGAATTTGAACTTCCGTTTTTACCTTCCGTTTTTAAAAACTTATTTTAAAATACTATTCATTTTTTTTCCAAATGAAGGATAAGCAGCAGAGTAATCAGCATTGAGCTTTCTTCCCTGTACAGATTCTCATAACTCTTGGCATTCCCCTGCTGATCTTACCTGCTTACAAGTAACGTAAGCAGAACTAACAAAAAATAAATGACATCACTGAACTTTTGAGGACATTTACATGTTTGGAGACTTGGTATGGAAGTCATGATGTGAATATTACAGGCAAATAAATTGGGTCAATTGTGTTCTTTGTTTTTGAATATACCATTATTTTAATTTCCATTTAATAACCAGTAAGAATGGTTATTTCTATACCAGCTAAGGAGCCACAAAATAATAGAAAAAATGTCACCAGTTACCCAAATGCCTTTGTGTTTCAGGGTATCTCTAGAAATTTGATACGGCACAAACACAATTTGTTATCATTCAGTTTGAATTTTTCTATGCACCTATGGAATACATATGCATTACACCACACAGTTTAATTTCCTTCACATTCTAGCTCTTTGCCCTTTATACATTCATTTTTGGTTTCTTGGAGGCTGAAAGAAGAATTAATAAATGTTCACTATACCTGTGTGTTGAAAACACTCTTCAAAAGGGAAGTAATTTCTGCAAAGTACTCCTTACAAAAATCCCAGGATTCTGAGTTCTTATATGGAGGCAAATTTTAAGGTCCTCACAGGTTATCTGTATGATATAAAACAACAACAAAGGATATTATTACAATTGTATATTTTTCTTTTTTCAGAAACAGTTTGATGCTATTTGTGAAATCATGAATTAGGGTGCCTATGAGGGTGCCTATGATATATTATTGTTCTAATAGATGAGATTTCCTATCACACTTATGTCTATGTAATCTCTTTAATGCTTAGTCGTGTTTTATTATTTACATGTATTAGAGAAAACAGAAAGAATATTCCCCAAACTAGTTTGTCCAAGACCCTGTACTTCCGGAGTTGAACAACATCAATAAAAGTTTCACAAAAAGTTAGAATTCAAACCTTTTGAATATATAATTGAGCAAAATGTACATTTAAAGATAATCTCTATAAATATACAATTTTTCATGATCATAGAATTTAAAACTTGAAGAAACTTCATAAATCATTTGGTCTCAACATTTCATTTTGCAGATAAAGAAACTGAGGTGGGGAGAGGTTAAATATTTTGCCCGAGCTTATACAAGTAATATAAGTATATAAATAGTATGCAAGTATATAGTATACAAAGAACAGACAAGATTTGAACAGAGGTCATAGGTCCATAGGTATGACTTTGGAAGGGAGATATGAGGTGATTTCGTTCACCCTCTTCATTTTGCAAATGAGAAAACTGCGGCCCAGAAAGGATAACTATGCAATGAAGCTTATATTTCCAAGAACCTTATTTCTGATAGATTTCTATGTGAACGTAATATGTTGTTGGAGTACAACTACATAAGCATATCACTTATTTCTTTTCAAAGAGCTACACAGAAGTGCAAGTTGTTGGCCATGGGGCAGCTGGGGATTCCAGTGACTCTCTGATTTCTGCATATTAGTACACCATTAAACTCCTAAAGAGCACTAGGGAACATTTCATATGGTTGAATTGGGAAATGGAAGTTCAGTCTTCCACAAGCGTCACCCCCAAATGACTACTGATTTTACTAATGTCCCTTTAAAATTGTAAATGAGCCTAGATCAGCTGAAATGTCAAAGTAATATTTGAATTTCACTATATTATAGAAGTTGATTTATTCAACACTATGAAGACTTAATCTGAATTTTAAGATCCAATTATCACATATAAAACTAAGCAAGTAGACTATGCATAATAAATTTATAGTTATCTATAGTTATATTCATAACTGTATATATAGTCTATATATAGTTTATACATATACATATATATGTATATATAAAATTAGTTATATATAGTTTACTCTGTGTGTGTGTGTGTGCGTGTGTGTGTGATACAGATAGGAACCTAGGCCTTAAGATCTCCTGAAACAAATATGTTTGTCTTCTTATATGGAAAATGGAATATATGTTAAAACATGTCCTATTTGCCCTGGTTTCACCCCAATGTTATTACAAAAAATATAAATTTTGAGGCTTCAGCTGAATGGGAATCTTTTATGGTAACACCTGTATTCTTGCAAATAATATGTAGCTATAAGATGACAGTTTAGTAGGTGACAGACCAAGGAAGAATCAGGCCCTGAGACTTTTTATTTTTTTCTTTTTTTTTTAGGGTTCTATTGATATAGTTTATTTTCATATCTGTAATTTTCAGATATACTACCTAGCCATCCACAACTCATAGAGTCTTCCATTATAACAAAGAAAAATAGATAATAAAACCAATTGACATAGTATGTCTCTATCTTTATAGTTTTTCCTTATTTGCTGATTTTCCTTTTGATCCTAGATGCACTTTCATGAAAAACTTTTTTTTAACATAGTCAAGTTCACTATTTTATCTTTCGTGATCACCTCTTTCTTTGGTTGGTGAATTTTCTCCCTAAATAAAACTCATTAAAAAACTATCTATTTTTCTCTTTTGTGATCTTAAGCTATTTTCTATCACATTAATTTTCAGTTTTCCCATTCATTCTTGTCAAGTAAGGAGTACACACCCCAAACAGTTTATGGTTCAACATATAATCAAACACTAATGAGCTCAAATTTATATTTATATATCCAATATATTCCACTGATTCATTTTTCTATTTTATGAATATATAGTAATTTTATTATTACTGCTTTATGATACAGTTTCAGGTTGGCAAGTGTTATTCTTCCTTTATTGCCATTTTTTTTCATTATTTCTAGACAGTTTTTTCTTTGAAATTATTTTGTTTGTCATATGCATACAAAAAGGCTTATATTCATTATACATAGTTGTAAAACATAATCCCTTGATAACTTCATTGGTATAAAACAAAATTTTAAAATTATTTTAAGTTAGTATTGTCATTTTTGTTACATTGGCAAGTCTAATGATAGTTATCTTATCTCCATCACTAGAAAAGTATTCAAGTTGATAACATTGTAACTTCATCATTTTCTATCTGGCCTTTCTTTTATGTCTAATAGTCATATTTCTTTTATTCTCCTCCAAGTTTCAAGGACAAGGATTCCATCTGGTCCCATTGATTGATTGACCTGCATCAAAAAGCTCTTCTTAAAACACCTCAATATATCTCTGGATTTTCTTGGATTTATTGTCCAGTATTGTTTATCTAGTAGGTGCCTCACTAGTTAAGCTCCTCTAGGTCTTGCTTATATATTGGAAATATCTCTGTTGCTGCTATGCAATGTTCCTAAAGGGAAAATTATGTCCACAAATATTTGATCAGTCTAATTCAGATTATTGTGTAGGCTAAGATATGAATATTTTCATTAGTAATTTATATCTGATTCAAATAAATGTACACACATGTAAGTATTCAAATCTAAGTCTACACAATTATAAATTATATATAATCCATATATTATATAATACATATAAAATATAACTATATATAATAATTATATATAATCCATAATATTATATAATACATGTATATATGTATATGTGTGTGCATGTCGGTATGATTATTGCAAAATCTCTACTTAAAAATATATTAACTACATAGGAGAGATTTCTATATATTTTTGGTCCTGGCATACATGATAAATCAATCCTTCCTGTAAGATTTCTAAAAACTCAAATACTCAAATGGTCTGTGATCTCATTTCTCCCTCCCAAAAGCATCCCTTCAGTGATGTAGACCCTTGCTGCCCCTCTTGCATGACTTTTGTCCATGACAATAAGTTCTACTATTTTTTTAGTGTCAGACCCACTATTTCAAACTATATCTATCTTGATTTCAAATTGCAGTGTTTTTCCATGTCTCCTCTCTGAAGTGTTATATGAACATATGTAAAATAATGTGAGTTTTCATTTCTGCTTTTTAAATTTTTTATTTAATATCTGTAATAACAATTACCATTTATTTAGTGCCTACTATATACAAAGCACAGGTTAGGTGCTTTACAATTTCATTTGATCCTCACAATATGCGTGGGAGGTAAGTGTGATTATTATCCCCATTTAAAGTTGAAGAAACTGAGGCAAATGGAAGTTAAGTGACTTGACTAGGGTAACACAGTCATTAAGTGTTTGAGGCTAGATTTGAACTCAGCTCTCCCTGATTCTAGGTCCAGCACTGTATCCATTGTACTATTTCTCTGCCCCCTGGGAAGGAAACATCTAGCTGTTTTCTTTCTTGATATCAGACTATTGTTTGTTAAATCTTATTTCTGATAGTGAGGTTGCTTTCAGTTAATTTCTACCCTTTTTAATTTGCTATTTGTAATATACTATATACTGGGAAATCAGAGAACTACATTCATTATACTTACATGTAAAAAAAATAAGTAAATAGAACTTTATAAAGTGCTTTAGGAAATTTATTGTACATAAACTTTAGTGTACAAACTTTGCAACATTTTTTGTTACTAAGTGTAACTAAGTGTAATTTTTTGGGGGAGAAAAGGACTAATTTCCTCCTTCTTGGCCATATGTCAGATAAGTGAGATTGCTAGAAAAATGGCCTCTAGATAATTAAGCCAAGTCTGTATTTGATTAGCTGTTGTCATAAAATAGGGGTCAAGAAAAAGACAACTTTCATTGCCTGTCATATTCTAGATTTTATTTCAATTATATGAATTATTTTTAAAAAGATTTGATTTCCAATACAGCTTGTTAGATCATACTTGACTCCAAGGTCATCCTAAGTTTATCTTCCTTTGTACACATATATAAATATATTAATGAAGCAGCTCCACCCTTTTGTTACTGATCTTTCATAGGTCCTTTGTGATTAAATCTTTAGAGAGAATTGTACTTCAGTGTAAAAATTTTGATCTGAGAAAAAGTACTCTAATTAAGTACACTGGAAGTATAATTTGAAGGTGAGAGTGGAATGAGAATCCCTTAACATATACTCCAAGAACCTAAATAACTTAAAATTTTTTTTTTCTTTTCAAATATCATGTCGATAAACCTTTACTAAGCACCCACCAAGTGTCAAGCACTGGGAATTACAAAGAAATGCAAAAAAATTAAAAGTTTCAGTTTTCAAGAAGCTCATATCTAAAGGGGGAGACAATATTTTAAAACAAAAGCTATTTATAAACAAGATAATGTTACTGTGCTGTAAGAAATTATGAATACAGAAAAGCTCACAAAGAGTAATATAAATTGATACAGAGTGAAGTAAACAGAGCCAAAAAACAACATACACTATGACTACAAAATCATAAATAAAAAGAAAAGCCACTCAAAAATCAAAAGTGAATGTTGCAAAATTACAAAAAAAAAATGGCCTCAAAGAAGATACCTTAACCCCCACCCATTTATAGAGGTGAGAGTTCCATGAATGTTGTACGTTGTACATATTTTCAGATTTTTTTGATGTATTGATAAGTTTTGTAGATTTTTCTCTTTCTTTTCTTGAATTGTTATTTGTTATATTGAGTTATATTGAATCTCTGGAAAGGCAGAAAGGAGGAATACTGGGATAAATTTTTGTAATGGTAAAAAATAGAAATCAATAAAATTTTATCTATGTTTCTATGCAATATACATTGGAGATTATTTTAGAAAGAAGGGAATAGCAGAATGGGGGACTGGGAAAGTCTCGCAGAAGGTGA